GGCTCATCTTCCTCGACTGGAATGACTTTGGCAAAGCTCCCTTCTTCCAGATAATCCACCACTCGGTTTGCGGCTTCAAGTCCGGTGACATAAGATTTCTCCTATTAGGCGAGGAAATAAAATAAAACATGTTCAGACCAATTACATGATGCTATCAAAATCTCCTGTAAAACAATATGCAATTTGAGAACAGCAAAGCAACCTGCGACCAAGAACCATGTCGGGTTATTATCCAGTCTCCTGCCATAAACAAATTAGGGAAAGATGTAGATCCGCGCATCATGTGTTTATATGAACCTTTTAAACAAGCAAGAAAACAAAGATTTAATTCTTAATTTAATCCAAAAGTATATAAATATATAGTAGAATACTTTTAAAAGGGTCTGAAAATAGTGAAAGACAATGCAGAACGAGTTGATTCATGGTTTTTCTTACATATATACATCCTCATAGATGATACATCTTGCAAGATTAACTTTTAACCTATGATTATGAAATTATAAATTCTTTGACAAAACATACAACCTTGTTCCCTTCATATACACAATGTTACCATTCAATTTGGATTAGGCTGAGGTAACATCTTGAAAAATGTCTTGCCTGAAACTAACAAGATCATGATGCAAAGACATGATCTGTTTCTTTAGATTTACTGATCATAACAGGATGTTAGGAGCTCACCTGGAAAGAAATGAGTCAATCTTTTTGGAAACCGTCCAATTTCTTTGTCCACCACATTAGCATTCTCAATGTCCTTGATGCACTTTGACAAATATGAAATAACTTTTTCAATCACAAGCTCATCCTTCAAAGGCAGCAGCTCATTGGCATGATACTGCATGACAAGATAAAGTAGAACAAATAAAGAAGCAAAATTTCAAAATTCTTTCCTTCCAATGACAAAAATAAAATCCACATTCCACTGCAAGACTTACAAAATCAGCTTCTACTACGGTTGTTGGATTCTCTTTATGCTCGTCGTGGATTGCGTTCAAGTCAAAGAAGGTCCACCCAAATAAATCATCAAATCCAGCACAAGCATTGCTTGGATTTGGGATGGCAACCTGGTATAACCAATATATAATATCAGCTGTAGCACTCTGTCAAAGCAAAAGGATGCAGAATGATTTTTTTTTTATACACAGGTGCCGATATAATAGAATGACTCGGAACATTCTTTTTGCCGAAATATTTTGTGATTATAAATTGAAGGACCATGGATTAGCTAAATTATTTGCTTGATTCAGTAAATCCCAGTCATATGTCTCTAGAACATATTGCAAGCACATACCAGATAAGTGCATATATGGATATACCACCTGAGCAGACGACCAGTTTTAAGTCAAAATAATAGAACAAAAAGAGGAAAATTAAGAAAACAAGGAAATCAACTAAAGAAATGCACAAGATAGTTGTTACAAAATTCACTATCACCCTTCTGCAACCAATTTTAGGCGATTAGATGATGAACAAAGATGGGAAAGAAGATAGAGAATAAAGAAAGAAGAATAAGGAAAAGAAGATATGTGCATGGACCTTCCTATCCAGCTGCAGCTTGATGGTAACCACATCTATTCCAGCCAAGTTCAAAACTTTCAGAAACTCTTCCCGTGTACATAATGCTGCACTAAACAGGACTCAACTGCCAGTTAAACAGTATAGCAGAAAACAGAAGTCAACTGAAGCTCTAAAACTCTACTAAAGGTCTAGAGAAAAACCTAGTCTATTTAATAAAAAAGCCTGGATGACCATCTAGTTAAGATGGAAAATTGAAACTAGGACATTCTTGCTTTCAACTTTATTGAAAGGCTAAATTAAACTCAATCTAGGAGCATCAGTTTCAAATTTACAGCATATGTTGTAGGAAAATGAATCCTTTGTAAGTAAGGTCCAGAACAGCAAACCTGTTCTTGATAATTTCTTGAAGTGTGGCAATCCCAACAGCCAAGATAACTGCATCAGCACTATAGGTCTCCTTGTCACAAACCACTTCAGTTATACAACCTGTTTCCCCATTGAAGGTGAAATCTGTCACCTTTTTATCCTCCAGCATTTCACAACCTTTAGCCTCCAGAGACTCCACCCATGGCTCAAAAATCTTTTCCTTAGTGGTCCCCCGACAAAATACTACATCAAAATGTTTCTATACCATAAAATAAAACTTTACAGTGTCAATTTGAGTAAAGAGCAGATGAGAATGCAAAAGGAAGGGAGATATCTTCAGATGGCTAGGTTGAGGACGGAAGATTTGAGTAGGACCTGAGAGTTGGATATAAATTACAATACAAATGTATGAATCTCAGCAAAAACCAGGTATCTTTTCAACTAAATGTGACAAGGATGGGAGTTTTGCTGAAAATAGTCTGCTAAATGAAGCAAACAGAGACAAGCATGTCAGAAATGAGAATAGTAAATTTTTGGCTGACTTAGCTTAAGGATTCAGTAATATTATACAAAAGTTACTAATTATCAAATTGGAGGATGCCTCATCCGCTACTGTTTCTGATAGAGTTATTTCACCAATACTGGGGTTAAACACACATGAGACATAGTAATTTGAATCCTTTTAGAGATGTTAAAACATTTCTAGAGAGGAATTTAAATAATCAAACCTGGTGGGCAAGAATTAAATAATATAGCATTCCTAGAGTTGCCGCAGCACTACATTGCTCAGCTGGAGCAAAGAAACCCACTTGAAGTAATGGACCAATAACATCCTGATAGAGCCTCTCCGAGCATCCAAACTGTTTAAAAAGCTCCCTTGCAGTAACTACCAGTTAAACCTCTGAATAAGGCACTTGAAAAGTTCATCTTTCATTCATCAATGGAAGTAACAACTAATCAATGAATGCTGGATTATACTACTGCAAGAAAATCCTTACTTGAATCATATTTCTTCCAGGCAACATCAGTGTTGTCAAAGTCAATTACTGCAAACAGAAGGAACAGCTGAGCTGATGACATGAAATAAATAGAAAGCAAAGAAAGATTGCCATAACAAAAGTTTATTTAAAATGTCCAGGTACAACCCCGAACACAAAAAATAATCAACATGCAAAAGCAAAGAATTGTTATTAGCAAAATAAAGTAACAGGTAGTTGCCACTCATTAGAAAAGCATCATTACTTTTTTGAAAGACAATGAGTCGTGCTACTTGCCTGCAGCCATCAGAGGAAGTGATGTTAATCTATCCACCAAAGGAAGCCGGACAAACTGCAAATAATGGTACAATTTACAAACGTTAATCAACAACACTATTGACTTTAAAGACTACCAAATAAAACATGAGGATGCAATTAAGAACATACTTGAGTGTAGTATAAGGTTCCCAATGGAGTTGGCAATTGAGGAAGTTCCTGGTATACTGGAAATTCAACCTGCAGAATGATCCCGAATCTGTTTAGATAACCAAAAGCATCTTTATTGGAGCTTCATAATTATTTATTTCTCCAACAAGGTTTTTCCAATGCAAGAAACATCTTTCGTGCTTGGAATGACTTGTTTGTTCAGCAAAGAAACTGACATAGCAAACTAACAGTAATACCTCCAATCCTTCTCCTGCATACTGTGCAGATCTTGTCCAGCTAGTGAAGGGCTTGATACCCAACTCATCAACAAGGCTAAATATATTTTTATAGGGATACCAAAACCCTAACCCCAAAACATAAGAAGGAAAAAAAAAAGGTTCAAACAGGAGATCAGGCTTCAATCATCAATCGAAGAATCTAACAGAATTTTTTGTTGAGGACTGAGAAGCAACATAAAACATACTAATGCACATTAAAGAAGTAAATTTAAGGGAAGTATTTTGATCAGATGCTATACTTCTTATATCTGCTAGGTCCTCAAACGTTAGAGACAAGAAAATTTTGGTTTATGTATAACATTTGCACTACTGCTAACTTAGCCATAATATAGCCCTAGATAAGAGGATTCATGTGCAAAAATGTTCATAGTAATAAACTCAACATCAACATTCATTTGCAGCCGCTGTTATCAAAGGAAAAACCGCTACTTTTATGGTTTCTTTATCGTTTTTACCTTGCAATAGCAGTTTATCTCCAAATAAAAAGTAATTTAGAGTACAGATTTTTGTCATTTGCTTACATTGTATAATTGATAATGGCAGAAGACCACCAAAATAAAAGTTGATTTTGGAATAATTTACCTTGGATACCGACATTATCTGGACTGCCAAGACCATCACCACCATCAAGAATAGTAACATCAAAACCCTGAAACAAAATCCCCAGCAACTCATTTCACCTAAACTGAAAGTTGTTCAAATAAAGACAAGACTCCCCTCCTATAAGTAATATAGTCAGAAACCTGATTGCAGAGATGGTGAGCAGCACCGAGACCAGCCCAACCCGACCCAACTACAACAACTTTCTTCTTCTTGTCGTTGTTTTTACTGTTGTTGTCTCCTCCGCCATTGGCATGGGTTTGAACAGAATCAGCTCTGCAACAAAACCCATCTCTCTTACTATACCTGTTTGATATAAAAGGTGTCAGCGTGAACCATCTACTCATAGCCAACATGTTTCTATCGATGCTGTTCCTCTATGTCTTAACAGGTAACCCTTTTCAACTGCCTGATTACTTTTCCTTCTCTCTCTTTTGTTTGGTTAAGTGACTGTCCTGAAAATAGAGACGTGTACACAGTGCTTACTCTCTTAGCCACAAGTTTTCGATTTTTGCTGTGATTATAACGTTTCTTCTTTTTCCCTTAAGCCACGGTGTATATCAGCAAAGATTTTTTTTCCTTGGCATGGCTCACTGTTTCTTGCTTCCACGCCACTATGAACTGTAAACTATATGAAAATTATTGGCAATTTTATGAATACGAAAATTATTATATTATAATTTATGTTTATATGAAATTATTTTTTATTTTACTAAAATTTTAAATTATTTTTAAGAGCAGTGAAAAAACAGAAGATTACTTTAAAACCAAAAAAGGTTAGTTATAAAAATTACGACAATCAATTTGTCAGACAATCAAACGGTCCCCACCAAAAGAAAACGTATTCCCGACCCAAGAAGAAGCTTTCATGTCTGATTAAATTCACCTTACATTATTGTCCAAAAATTAGAAAAAAAAAAAGAAAAATATCAAAGTTTCTCATTTGTGTTCCAAAATGGCTGCAGCCACGCTCTCCGTCCGGCCTAACCGTCTCTCTCCCGGCTCCCCTATCCCTGGACTGCTGGCCCACGTCCCTAACCATCCCCACCCTTGCTTAAAACCCTCAAAATCTGAGCCGTGGAGAGTCGCAAAAATTGTCCACACCCGGCGAACATTGGCCGCTCAAGCCGGTTCACGAGCTGATGACTCGGCTCCGTTCGAGATGTCTGTTGAGAACGCGTTCAAGCTCCTCGGAGTCTCCGAAAGTGCTTCTTTTGATGATATTCTTCGCGCCAAGAATTCGATTGTTGCCTCTATTAAGGATGACCAGGAAGCTATTGCCCAGGTTGATTCATTGCTGCTTCTTTTTTCAATTTTGAAAATTTAGGGAATTTAGAAGATTTGGGTGATAAATATTGAGCCTTATTGTGTACATGTTGATAATTTTGCTTCTGGGTGTTGGAGTTATTTATATGTATTGAATTTTAGTGTTTTAAGTAAAATTTGAGGTTTTGGATAATGATTTTTTTATATTAGTGAATTTAGTTAGAAATTTTGAATTTTGGCTCCTGGGTATTGAATTGCATGGGCATATTGAAAGTTTCTTGAACTTGTTAGCTTCTGTAATCTGTTATATATGATTTGTAAATTTTGACATTTATTTCTGTTTTCAAATATGGATGTTATTTTTTACTTTGTAATCCATTAGCTGGATTTGATTTTGGTGTGTCAATGTCTAATAATTGTTCCTTGTAGCATGTAATTTCCCACTTGTTACTGTTTTATATGTTAGGATGGTGCCTGGTGGGCATTTTCTAGTTTTTGGATTAAACAAGTCTTTTATAATGTTCAATGAAATGGAATTATGTCGCTTATGGCGGCTCATCTGTCCTAGTTCGTACTTAACTAAGAAGATCCTCTAGATATAAGACCCGTAGGTGATTGTTTTTGAATAAATTGTTAACTGTCTGTTTTCTTTGCTATTACAATTGTTTACTTTGTCCAGTGAGAAAATTGACTCTTGTATGGTTGTGGATTGTGTTTTAGGTTGAGGCTGCATATGACATGTTGCTTATGCAGAGCTTAACTCAACGACGAGCAGGAAAAGTCATGGACAGAAGCATTCGATATGCAGACGTTAAACCAGTTAATCCTCCTGGGGTGGGATCAATGCCTCAGTGGGTGCAAACAACTGTGAAAAATTTGCCAGTTTCAGTTGGAACACCGTCTACGGGTGACTTGGGCATACAGGCTGGAGTGTATGGAGCTCTTATGGTTCTGACTTACGTGAATGGAGCTTCTACATCCTCTGTGATTCCTTACACTGGACCTGAGGTTCCTGGGTTTATCTTAGCTAGTAGCTTTGGAGCTTCCTTGTATTTCATGACCAGAAAGAACGTGAAGTTAGGTAATGAGTTTTCTTGCATATAGATTGTATTGCTTGAAAATTGCAATAGAACTTTAATCGTATGTTACTTTTGTCAAATATGAAAGTCCAGCAGTTGCTATTTAGGTTGTTTTTTAATCTTAACCAAAGAAGGAAAGAAGGGGGAAGAGAGAAGAGCAGAAAAACCCTCTTGGGTTGGCGGGGGCTGCTTCTTGCTAATGAGTGAAAACATTGTATATGATGGTGAAATGTACATATGATGCAGGCAATTTTACTACAAATGTTGCTATAGTTTAGATCGAACTAGCTGTTGTTTTAATGTCATTTAGTTTTATTCAGCAGTTTATCTGGGGTTTGCTAGTGAAAATTTATTACTAGAAAATTTCTGAATGTCCTTCTATCATATGCACACAGGAAGATTTCTAGTGGTTACATAATCATCCAGTATTGCGACTCTGGTTCTGCTTCCCTGTCTAGTGATTTGCCAGAATTTTTGGTTCATTTCTCTCTTTGAGTTAACTTCTTTACATTTTTCCTTAAGTAAAAATGAGGCTTTGCTATTGAAGTCCTTTAAAGCAAAAGGAAGTTCACTATTGGGATTTTATTTCCCTTTATGCGAAAGCATACCAATAATTTAGACTGCATACATGTGCAAATTTCAAATTTGTTTAAACTTCAGTTTGGATCAAAATATCTTCAGTCTTTTCCTTTTCTTTTATTTGCAGGTAAGGCTACATTAATAACTATAGGGGGGCTTGTTGCTGGTGCAGTGGTGGGATCAGCTGTTGAAAACTGGTTGCAGGTAGACATTGTCCCATTTGTTGGAATAAACTCACCGGGTACTGTAGTTAGTGAGTTTATACTCTTCTCTCAATTCTTGGTCTCTCTGTATCTAAGGTAGGAATAAGAGGATGTTTTTGTAATTTAAATTGTACAACCTGTAATTATTCATTTGCATGATCATAACCAAGCTTTTTTAGGATGGGTATCATTGCATGTACAAAACTACTAATAGAAGATAGTGAAACTTCAATCCCTCTGAAAATCTGATCAAAAATTATGTTCGAACATGAAAATTTTCTTTTGTTTTTGCTAATGCATTGTAGCAATGAGCCCACTTCTTTCTTATTGCATCCAAGCCCTGTGGAATTATGGTAGATGGTGGCAGAGTGAAATGAAACCCAAAAGAAAAATTTTACTGACAAAGTAGATAGTGAAATGCTGAAGACAATTCTTGTGCTTGTGTGTCTGGACTGCCTCAAAGGGAAACCTGTTCGTGTTTTGGAGTTTTATCGTCTTTAGCAATCTCAGCTATAATATTTATGCTGTGGCAGTGTCCAGACTCCAGAGTAGTAACCTCCTCTTTCTACAGCAGGGTGCTGTGGTTGTCAGAACCAGTGCCGGAACGTGGCATGATAACATTTACATCATCCTGAACTTTACACAAAAGTTTGGCATGAGTTCGTACCCCTTTTGTATTGAGAGTCGTTTTCATACTCCCAACAAATGTGAGCAGAAATTGTGTTTTAACCGGCAAAGTATAAATAATAGATCAATACGTGTTCGATGTCTTCTGAATTGAATTGTAGAAACCAAAATGTTCTCATGTACAAGGATGCAAAATACTAACATTCTATCAATATATCACATTGTTATTTATCACAAAACACTGAGTAATTTCTTTGAAAATAGATATGCATGAGATTCGTTGCTCAAAGAAAGCACCCTCTCACTTAATCAGTCCTAGCGAAAAAGAATAGTAAACTGAAAATTTAAAGATCTTGCGAAAATATTCTTCAACAGCGCTTAGACATCTGGTGATAATAAACAATTAGCAATTCATCAGAGCGAAAACAACCTGGAAACATAAATAAATGTGCCACAGCGAGCTGCTTGGGCAAGATGTAATAATATACAAGAAGACAACATAAACCATTAACTTAAGATCCTCAAACCTTTTCTTTGCTTGTTTGTCATCTGCTGCCATTTTCTTCAACTTGCGAGCCCTCTATATAGGATATGTTCCCCTCCTTTTCAGCATTTTCACTTCGAGTGACAAGGTCATTGTACATCTTTAAAGAAGCCTTTGAGAATTCAATTAATGACTCAAAAACAGTTGAAAATCCTGTCCGAAATCCATTTAATGTGATTCTTTGTGTTTCTTGCATGTAATTTTGGTGTTTCTCCCTTTCTATTTCCAACCTCTTTCTGAACATATCCAACTGACCCTCCTTCTCAATCAGATACTCATTCCGCTGTTCCATCTCTGGCTCGGATTTATATTCCGTAAGCTTGGACTGCAGGAACCTGGTTTCTGCCTTCTGGAATGCCATGGTCCTTCTGTCAAGCTCTTTAGCCATGCCATCAACTTTCCTCTTCTGTTGTTGTTCCTCCCCTTGCTGAGCCCACAGCGCCCCTACATCCTTCAAAAAGCTTTTCAATGAAAAGATGACTGCCTTATCTGGCAACTCTTCCATGAATGTTAACCAATTATAACATATTATAAGAAGTGGAGGCCCATCGGCTCCACATGGTGCAGCGGAACTCCTTCCTCTGGAATGGAATTCAACCTCAGGGACCAGGAACTTGGTTAGCCAACCATGAAGAGCTTGAATGTATGCTCTTTGAGCCGCAACATACTCTGTAAAGCAAGCACGCCAATTTTGAAGCTCAGCCTCGAGCTGAAGAGTAGCAAGTCGATGAGAATCATTGCAGAATTTTCCATATGTGGGGCAGGCAAAAGATTTCACTTCAAAAAGAATTTTGTTTTGGGTTTCATGGGATTCAAGCATAACTTTCCAGGTTCGTGTCAGGCTGCACAAAGAAATGTCGAGTCAAAATCCTAGGGAATTGCAGAAGAAAATTAACAAGGCAGTCTGACTGGTTTTTGAAGAATTTTACCTACCCTTTTAACAGTTCAACAATTTGAGGCTGCAGTTCTTCATCTCTTACTTTCCGAATTCTCTTTGAGATAGATTCAGCACTTTGAATTGCAATCAAGATTCTGGCATATAAATCCTTTACAGCAGCTCTGGTTTTGTCCGTAGCAAGCTCATCATATCCCTTCACATCCTGGTTTCTCAGTCGACAACATTTTCTCTCATATATTTTCCGTGTGCTGTCTCCAGCCTATTGTAAGTTAACATGTCAAATGCCCAAACAAGAAAATAAAAAGAAAAGGCTAGCCATCTCTTTTTGAATCTTTCACGGTTTTATCTGGAGCAGAATTAAATGACACATGCATATGCTGAGTAGATGCCAACATTCTAACATTTGAATTTGGAACCAAGAGTTCCTTGTAGCATCACCAGTTAGAAGTGTCTTTCAACACCATTATTACATACATGGTTTAACTAGTTCAATTTTATTCACAACCTGGCAGATCAAGCAAGTGTTCTTTTATTTGGAGTACATTTTTTTATGCTCAGAACTCATTTTACTCAAATATTAATCCAACAGAAGGTCCTATATAGAACTAGTTCTCGATATTGCAGTGTCATTTTCCGGACTAGTTATTAATACCAGGAAGGTAATAAAAAGTGGAAGTGTAGTAAGGTAGCTTTACATGAACCTATAGCAACATGGTTATCTTTTTTCTTTATTTCCTTAGAATCCATAACTAATCACCAACTTGAAAAGAGGAAGCCCAAGTTATTATCTGCTACTATAAATCATTAACACTGCAAAAACAATATTCATTCTTGATGGTTTACCTTAACCTCTTGATAAAGCTTCTTTTCCCATGCATAAAGTCTTCCTAGTGTTAGTGAATGGCTTCCTGAATCCATTCCTCCATATTCATCAAAAAGATCATTCCTATATTCTGTCCATGCTGAAGAACTTTTTGAACTCGATGCCACAAGACTCTTGCATGATGGAGGCTTAGACAATGTGGACCGATGCCAGGTAATAGCCTGGATGAGTTTAGTGGAGTTCTCTGCAAGAAAATTAGCATGGTTAATGATTACTTCTTATGAAATGGATATCAACATGATCAAAGCTTATACTTTTTTTCAAAGTTATATAGAAAAGCACAGCGGAGGATAAAGGAGGAATTTTGTGGTGTAAGGATAACAACGGAGTACCTGAATGTTAGACCCACATGTGCAAAAGCAGGGCATATAGACTCAAAGATTTCCAGCTTTTGTAAACAAAAAGAAATGATTGCAAGGTTTGATTACTTTAACATCTTGCAGAGAGAATGACAAAGAAACATATCATGATATAGCAAATGCCCAAAGAAAAAATGACAAAAACCATAGTACAGTTAGAAATTGGAATGAAATTTCAGTTTAATGAAAAGCCTTGTAAAACCTCTTCTGGTATGCCAAGACATGTAAACAAAATTTACTGGTAAATTACAAACCATGAAGTTAAGTAAAACTATAACTTCAAAAGAAAATTATATAATGAACATAGAAAATTACTATTAATAGATGATAACTTCTAAGTAGAAGAACACAACGAAAGGCCAATTCGTCAAGGTTTAGAATAAAAATGAAAACAAATTAGTAGAGGAAGAACAAAAGTAGACACAAAAGCAAAAGGGGAAAGGTTGGCGATTAAGAGGCTTATTCTGTACAAATAAATGACAAAAATCAACATTATAAGGCCCAAGAAAGAAGATTCGGACAATAGAAATCCATCTTAAAACCAAGACTCATGCAAAGCTAGCCTGGGACATACCATCCTCCTTTTTCCTCAGACATATAGTTAGAAATCGGAAGTCAACCCACAAATTTCAAACAGAAGATTGCTTCAAATGTAAAATTAACATTTTATAAAACTCGAGTAAAGCTCTCAAAGTATGTGAAAGGAAAAAAAAAGAAAAAAATAAAAAGAAAAACCCACCTTTAATATCCTCCAAACCAGACTGCAAATGAACCGTATTAGCCTCTAACATTCTTGACACATCTTTCCCAGAATCATAAGCTCTAATGAAATGATCCTCAATATCCTTCAAGGCTTCTAAAAGTTCCCTTCTTTTTTCTGGGCTATCAATAACTGTAAGCCCCTTCTGTTCTCCTTGGCTTACATGAGTCTCTTCCTTTACTTTCACCGTACCACTTTCACTCTCTTCATGTTCTCTGTTAGTATCTTTTTCTTCAACAAAGACAACTTTTTTCTCTTCCTCTTTGGTATCTCCTTCCTCTTCTAGCTCTGGTATCCCTTCCTCTTCCCTCACTACTCTTAAATCATCATCAGAACACCTGTTATATCCACTTATAATCTCTGGTCTAACAACATCAAATGGATTAAAAAAATCCCAACCAAAATCTCTTTGTGGTGATGGCATTGGTGGTGGCATTTGCATATAAAAGTACCCACAAGGTTGTTGTTGTTGTTGTTGTTCTTCTTCTTCTTCTTCTTCTTCTTCTTCTCTTATTACCTCTTCTTTAGTACTCTCTTCCTCTGAAGTTTCTGAGCTTGTTGAAGAATCACAATACTCACAGGCAATGGCTTCATGGGTTGACTCTGAAGGTCCTTGTTGAAGGAACATTGGATTGGTTATTACAGTTTGATCTGTAGCCGGTGGTGTAGGCGGACAAGGCGGAGGAAAAGTGATGAGAAAAGGTGAAGAAGGTGAAGAATGGCGAGCTACAAAGAGCTTAATAGCAGCTGCCACTGCATAAAGAGCTTGATAGTACCTACAATGTGCTTCTGCAAGTGCATATCTTCTATCTACTGCTAGCTTTATAAGGTGTTTTCTTTCTCTACAAATTGACACAACTTCTTCTTCTTCCTCTAGTTTAGAAGCAACACAACCCATTTCTTGCTAAAGCGTGGAGGTGTTTTTTTTTTTTTTTCTGGCTTTTCAACAGGCGTAGAAGCTACCACTTTTGAATATATGGGGATAAGGTAAAGTGAAGAAAGGTGATCTTTGGGAGGAATCTGAGTATTCTTTTCAGATAAAAAGGAGGTGGGGTTGTAACAAAATGGAAGAATGAGTTAGATTTTACAAGGGTTTCAGAGAAGGAAAGAAGGAAAATGAAGCTTTATGAGAAGTTTTGGAATAAACCACTTCATCTTTTGATTAAAAAAAAAAGGGTTTTCTTCTTGAAACATAGCTCTTGCTTAACTGCCATTAAGGAAAGAAGGAAAATGTAGCTTTATGACAAGTTCTAGGATAAACAACACCGTGAAGAGTGAGATTAACTGATAAGAGATGACAGGATTAAGGGCCAGGACGAGAAAACAGAGTAGATAGTAAAGCTTAAAAGGTAGGGGCTGGAGAAGGAGAGAGATATCTAGTGTTTGGTAATTTTTACACTACAAAAATTGGCATAAACAACAATGGCAATTGGAAACCACTCTCTATTATCTTTTTTAGTGCATAAAAGCATTAAAAAATTGTTTCTGCAAAAATTTCGCACAGAATTTTGAAGCAGACATTTGTCCATTAGGTAGTCTAGTAATTAAAAAGAGGAGTTAAATGTACTATAGTTAATTAGTACTAAATAAAGATAGTGACCATACCACTGCAAAAACCCCAGAGGGAGAGAGAGAGAGTGTGAGAGAGTTCTGTCTTTTCCTTGCAAGTATTATTGTTTTTTCTAACTGCTTCTTCCTGTCCAATAATGGGAGTATAATTGTGTTACTAACAACATGTTTATGGTCTTTACTTTATAATAAGTTCTTAAGTGGGGGGGGGGGGGGGGGGGGGGGGATTTACAAAAGCAGAAGGTTTAAGCTTAACTATCATTGTCTTTACTGCTATGGACAAATCCTCAACTAAGATTTTTGGGCCATAACACTATATTTTGCAAGGATTTAGAGTTCTGAGTGGTGTGAAGGTTCCTGTTTGGTCCATAAATGAATCATGTGATGCCAGAACTACTGACTGTTACTCATGAACTTGCAGGTTATAATTAGCCTGAGTTAGACAAGGTGCCATTGCCATCATCTTCACTTTTTTTGTTTTGAAAAAAAAAATCCTTAGTAGATATGTTGCCCATCCTTGAGTTAAAAAAATGTACTACTTACATTTAACAAAGAATCATGGATTAGATTCAAATTTGATATCAATAATCAACAAAATTAGGAACCCATTTGTTTGCATAATGAAAAAGGACTTTCATTGCATTATAATGTCGTTTTGATACTAAATTTATGCATAACAAAAAAAAATTTCATCATATTTAAATGTCCTTTTGATACTGAATAACTTGACTATTTAACCAAAACCTTAATCATTTACCTTTTATTATTATTTCTCCTCTCTTCCTACCTAGTTCAAGAGAAACTTGAAAGATTCTTGTTCTACACGAATGGAATAAGTAGGGAAGATTGCATTTAAAAAATCGTGTGAATGATTCATGCATTCTAACCGGATTTCAGTTCAGATGATTGAACTTTTAAAAACAAATGGGAAACAAAAAGAAAGTACAGAGGACAGTGCTGAGAAAATGCACCCAATGATCGTGGGAAAGGCCTCAAAGTCTGTAGAGATAAAAGAATCAAATCTCAAACTTCTATTTTCAAGTCAAAATATTGTTAGCACAATCCCAACAGCAAACTCTTTATAACTAATTTTGGTTTGTCACCCACTGTCATTGCCAATGCCTTTGACTTTGGTTTTTTTTTTTTTTTTCTTTACTTCTGTTCCACTCTGAGTTCACTTTTGAAGTTTAAGATGTTTGTTGCTTTGTCTTAAAACTTTTTTTTTTTTTTTGCAAATTTCATGTTGAACTTATGGAAGAAAATAATAAAAATATAAAGTCATATTTGTTAATTAAAAAATGTACTAATCGTAATTCTCAAATAATATCTCAACTTGAATGTAATGTTGCTTTTTTACTTTATCATAAAATATATAAAATTTATTTTAATTCTTGAAATTTGTCAATTTTTTTTTTCAAAAAAAATTATATTCCTTGCAACATTCTTCCTTTCACAACATGACAAGAGGAATTCTCATTATACCTTGATGTTTTATGATTACAGTGAAATTTTTAAAATTTTTTTAAAAACTCAATCGTTAAAAACAATTGCAGTGAAATTTTGTCACCGCGCTACCAAAAGACCTTGAAAGTTAACATGACACCTTGGTTGGTGGCCTTCGGTGGTTTTGGTTTATTTATTTATTTATTGTTAAAAATTTTTTAAAATAAACAAATAATCTTATTTTCAAGATGTGAGTCTTTAATTTAATTGAAATTTACAGATTTATTAAATTTTTATTTATAAATTTTTTAAATTTACATATCATTTATCAACAAAAAAAAATCATAAAAAAATTTGAAAGCTAAATATTAATCCACCCAGCATCCTAGTTTTGGTTTATTTATTTTAGAGAATCTGTAATGGAACTCAATGGCTCTGAGAATAGAGCCACTGCTTGGGGTTGAAGGAGTTAAATAAATACTTACTGGACAATAAATAATATGGAAGGGCAATTTGGTGAAGGCAAGTTCCTAACACAAATATATACTGCATAACTAGGATTTTGTATGTGGGTTTAGCGACAATATGGCTTGACACAAGCTGACAAATGTGGGGAAAAAGCTTTTCTTTCTCACCTCGGAATTCCCTACTTCCTCCATTTTCAATAACCAAGTTTTGATTTGCCCCAAAAACATGTGTTCTTCTTTGATTACAACAACAATCGAGAGTTAGATATTATGAAATTTAAAACAACAACTGTTATTTCTATGCCAGGAGTCACAGTCAGGAGTCGAAGGGTTTTTCTTTTATCCATTTTGACAAGATGATAGAATAAGAGGAGAGTAAAAATTTTGGACAACCTCAACCTGACTTCAAGTCCTGTCCCAACAACCATTATGGATGGTTTGCCTGACTCTACCATTAAGAATTTCAAGAGAATTTCCTTTTTTTTTTTTTTGTTATTAAGCAGACATTTCTCAAATTTGAATCTTGAAAAGACATTCTAGGTTTATAAAACAAGAAAATTTTTTTATGTAGTTCAAGAATCAAGATGGCATGTAACAAATTTTTTTCTTTTTCTTATTTTATTTATCCATTGAAATTTTTACTAGATATAATTCCAATGTCAATATTTTCCCAAGAAAACCATAAACACTGGATTTTGGATGGATAACATAAACTTTGTAGACCGGTCATATTATTGTTTATAGAATTGAATACAAACGCAGTAACCGGCAGACAAAATCCCTGCCAGGTGAGCCATATTGTGGATCAGGAAACCTGAAATTTGGAGTTGTTCCTGACAAGTTTCATTTCAGTTGATGTAATAACCTCACCTGCCACTCTTAGATCTCACATCAATATAGAATCCAACACAGTAAAAGTATTGTGAAGCAGGTATATTTGCCAGGTCTTTTACAGATTATTCCTGGAAGCTAGAGTGCCAAACATTCAATAACCACCACATTGTTACTTCCGACGTTGTTGTCCGTTAGCTTCCGATCAGTAAGAGTGAAATGCGAATAACAATGTGTAATATTATCTGCATGATGTGGAATTAACAAAGTAAACGAGTCCAATGCACCAACTGAAGAACAAAAGGAAACTATTATATAAAGACTGAGGAAACTATCTAAGGCAATTAAATATAATAATCGTCACCTTGTACTCTTCTCTAGTTCTTAAGTCTTTCGGCACAGAAGCTAAATGCAGGAACTAGTTTCCAGTTAAAAGTTACAGTGTACATTAAAGAATTGAAGACTTGCTCCTCTTATCACTGTTGGAAGCTACCTGGTATTCACATAAGAAAATGATACAACAAAGAAAAACATGCCAGATACAGCACGATCAGGTACGACCAGCTTCTGTTGGCGTGGCACAAGGAGCCAGTGTATTATGAGGCAAGTTAACACCTCCTCCTCTAAAAGATAGATTAGGACCCTTAACTGAGCTAGCCTTGCTCACGAGGTTTGAGTCAAGAAACACCACAATTACTGTGATGTCGTCGTGGAAATGCCTACGGACACCGCGGTCAATCTTCTTCAAGTCAGAATACCTCATTTCTCTCTTCTTTGCAGCTATTTGTAGAGCAGTTTTTACCAACCTCCTTGCACTTCCCTGCATGAAGTCCAAAACAAAATTGTTAATTTTCTCTGTTCTTTTGGTACCCTATTTTAAGATGAACTTCATGTCATCTATATAATGCTTATGCAGTCATTTATCTGCGAAAGACTTTATACCTCAAAATCAAAAAAACGTTACATGACGAACAGAAAGGAAACAATAACATTGTCCCCACTCACTGCATGAGCATGCATTTGTGTATGCCTGTTCGTGAATCACTTGTCCCACATGTATGCATGCAGTAAGGACCATTCAGGAGGAAAAAAGGTGCTTATTACAAAGCATATCGCCGTTCATAGTTGGCTAGTTGGTTTATATTGAAAAAAATGTGAAGTGCAAACTTAAGTTAATACTGGTTGATTTTTTCAATTGAGATACTTAGCTTACAAATTAAAATGGTAATTGTCAAGAAACAGTAATCGGATGGAAAAAAATTGAAGAAGCAGAAGCTGCAAAGTCATGGCTCTTCAAGTGGGATGCGACAGCTCACATGACAAGGGAATTATTCTCAAGATAACAAACCAAAGCTTCATTAACAACTTGAATTCCAAAACCTATTAACAGTGACCAACTAGAAAAGGCTTTCATACTCTAACCAAATGAACGTTTCATAAAGATAGGAGAAAAAGTACTGTTCATAATTAGATAAACAATATTCAACACTGAGGAATAAACTTACACTTCGAGGATGATTTTTAACTATATCAACAGCTTCTTGATTGCTTAGGTGTTCCCAGAGCCCATCAGATGCAAATATCACGAATTGATCATGTGGCTGCAGATGTTGCACTGTCATTGATGGGTCTGCACTCAATATTGGCCTTTTGAAAGGTTCGCGAAGGCGAAATTTGGGATATAAGGGCTCCCTGTTGAACTCAGGTTTTTTCAAATATACATCACCAATAGATCTGGAAACCTGAAAGGTTGAGAATTCTATCAATATACACTCTCAAAAAGTAAGGGGCACCAAAGCAAACCATGGAACCAATAGCAAGAAAATTAAAATCTTGAACCACTGGTGCTGGACAGATGCACTCATGAAATGTACTAACCCTCTCTCTTTGTTAGGGGTTTGTTTTTTGTAATCTTATTGCAGTTACTAAATGAATGAATTAAAGCACTGTAAACATTCCGGTCAAGTTCAAGGTTACAAAAGGTTAAGCAGTTGAAAAGAAATTTGTAAATAAGAAGAACTGCCCATGGTAGCAATTAGAATCTCTTCACATGAGAAATCCATACAATCTGTTGTACTTCTAGGTGCACATAGTTTTCTGATAAACTTTACAATATTTATAAAGATTCCACATTGACATGTGGGAACTTGCTCAGAAGTTTCTCAACCAATTTGACCAAACTAGAATCCTGTTTAAACCATAACTTAAGTAGTTAAAACAAGCCGTGTGAATTTGATAGCTTAGATATAGATCCCTAACCTAAAGTTAGAAAACCAGTAAAGTACTAGTATCAGTCATTGAAATAGGATGTACTCATGGGCCACAATAAAAGAACTATCTCTCCAATCTCAAGCAGTAAATTACATCCTCCCTTCTTCCCTGGAGTGAGGTTCATTTTTCAAGGGCTGGTTCTGACCATCTTCCAAAGCCTGACTGGGCAAACCAGAATCTGTGTAGTTTATTCTCTCTGTACAACCTGGAAACCACATAACTGTAAAACACAGGGAAATCAAAACCTAGTGCCTTGGGATATTTCCTTTCACCAAAACTCCTTAGAAACAAAGCTCATACACCTATACAGAGCTGAAAAGTCATAAAGCTAATGTTATTCCATAATAAAACCTGAAGCTCAAAAGTAACCAACTCCAGGATCACCACAGATCTTATCAGTGCCACACTTGGAATATTTAGATACATGCCATATCAATGGATAACCATCAAATTACTTCCTTCTCTTTAGATCAACATACAATCCAACAAAATTTTTAGATCCCATAGCTTTATGCAACAGCCAATAGCACTTATTTATCCCTTTCCGTCATCTTTGCCAATTACTTTGCAGATAAACCCATGCATCCAACTGGAATAAATATTTATAATGGGCATCCTTCCTCTCCATGGCTCCAACCTATCTTTACCACATAGGAGGAGAACACATCATGAAGCTGATATGACTCTTTCTTTCTAACAAATCAAACCCCTTTTTTCTCCTCAACATTGCATTGGAATTGTAATTTTATAAATACGTTTTTGCTCCAAAAACATTAAAGACCTGTTTTTGGCTTTTATTTTAAAAAGTAAGCATGAGCAGATTAAACACTGCCCCAGGTTCATGCCTTTCTCTAAGAATTAAGTATAAATCAAGCTAGCTAAAAAAATCTTTTCACACGTTCTTAAATGGCATACTCTATGGTGCTTAACTTGGACAAGAACTGGTTCCAAGATCTCTAAGCGTCTGCAGCACAGATGAATGGAAGTAGTATGTGCTCCTTTTTTTCACATGGCTAGAGAGCTTATCACAGCTAATATAAGTGACAAATAGAAGCAGGTTTCAATTCCCCTCATTTTTCCCCAACCACTTGTCACAGCTATTCACAAGCATTGCTGTTTGGAATAAGGCATCATTACCTACCCATCTTAGCAGTTAAGTAACTATTAAAAACAAAAATTGTTTGCATAGTGAAGCTTACCTGTATGAGACCTTTTACACGCCACACATTGTGCTTCAAAACCACAATTTGTGAGTCATCAGGGTGCAATGACTGCAGCTCTTGTCTTACAGACTCTATGCACACATTATGCTCAGCTGACAGCTGAATGGCTAGAACCTCTCCTGTTGCCTTCACAGCTCTCCCCAAAACAGCACGGGAATCCCCAAGGTTGGCAACATAAAGGGTACCACCACAAATAACACCAACCAGGCAGCAGGATCCAACAGCTGCAATTTGTGGTTTCATAGGCCACTGTTTGGTAACGAGAGACAAAAAACTCTCTTCTGTTGCTTGATACGCTTTTTGTATTACATCAACTGACATTGTCTGTTGCTCTGAAGTGAACCCTGAAGTAACATATATTTCAGAGTAGCAAAACATCATCACCGATACAAAAGTGCATGAAAAAAAAAAGAAGTCAAAGATGAGTAACATGCTCTACATCTGCAAATAGCAGTGAGACACAAAATAACAGAACTCATACTCACGAACCTATAACTGTTTGGACTCAGAACAACAAACCCTTAGCTATGGCTGCAACAACTTGACCACACTAATTCCTTCAATCATTTAATTCTATCCAAAACACTTGCTTATTGTAACATTTCTTTCCTCTACTTCCTAATCAGCAAAAAGAGGTCAAAAAAAAATTAAACCCAGCAAAGGCTTTGTACTTACGCTTGAGATGTTGAAAGAGATGATCATTGATATAGCGCGAAGCCTCTGGGCCCCCATGCCCATCATATACACCAACAAAAGTACCATAGGGGCCTGACTCATGTGAACTTAAACAACCAGACTCAAGCTGGCTCTGATCCTCAAGTAAATTGTTGGCCTGAACCACTGCCATCGAGAACTCACCATTAAAATGCTGCCCTGTGTCCTTGTACCATAATAGCCCATCTAGGCGACCTCCAGCATCCGAACTTGTCTGAACGTATCGATCCGACCTTGGCCGAAAACAGGCCCTCAAAAAGTTCATCAACCCAGATAACATCCCTCATCTCATCCAAAAAACCCTCCAAATTCTCCACATCTAAATCACTGACTGCAACTACGCCCTAGAAACCTGAACAGTGAGCCGTATCCTCCTTTGCTTCTCAACACAATAATGGAACACTATAGCAACATCAACAACAAAGCACATTAAAACGTTAGCAATAGTGCAATGTGCAATAACGGCTCAAAAGCAACTAAACCAAGGAAACTTCGAGTACAAATTACTATCTGCCACTACTCCTCAAACCTCAAGGGACAGTAAACAGCATCAATCAGATAGTAAAACAAATTTGGTAAACTATAAAATCAATAACTAGCAGATCAATAAATGATGTACAAGAAGCCACCTTCTCAGTATGTTTTAGCTATTAATATGAAGCTCCAACAAAAGAAACTGTTCCCTCTTAAAATAGGTAAGCCATGACTCCTTATGCTGAAAAAAATTAACAAAAACACAAAATAAGGCTTTTTGAAAAACAACAGAATCGGTCAAAGCTCACTTTCATTTTTTTTCTAACAAAGTAGTTGGTCAGCCATTAGGAAATCCAGAAGGTCTAAAGTTTAACATCGAGAACTTTAAACAACCCAGTTTCACAAATCCCTTTAGACCCCTTAATCATCATAACTCCACCCAAATTTCCCACACAAATAAACAATAAAAAAAAGAAGCTTACCTTTTTATTTTACCACTACGGTTTATACGTGAAAAGGAGGATCTGGAAATAGAAAAGGAAAAAACTTCATGCGGGTTCGAAATTGGAATTAGCAGATCTGTGGATCAATCAAATCAAAGGAAGAGAAAAATTTTAGATTTTAGTTTTTGGTTTGGTTGGTTTCAATCAGTGATGAGATAATTGAAGAGGAAGACAAGAACATAAAAGAGAACTGAAATATGAGTTTTTTTTTTTCCTTCAAAGAAAGAGTAGTCTTTTTATGTGAAAGGTTTGGCTTTGGCCTCCAACAACTTATAAAAACTCTGTTTCTCTCTCCTCTCTTTCTTCTGTACCTGTCCCTCTTGTTTCTCCCTCTAATTTTCAGCAGACAAGACCCATGAAAGACCAACAATGGAGAGCTTGAAGCCAGCAAAGCAAAGGTCCAGTTTTGGGCTCCACGCCCCAATGCTAATATGGAGATAGAAACACTCGAAAGAGAGAAGCTTCATAAGCTTAGAGAGAGTCAATGAAATCAAGTTTCATGGGCTATGTTATCCTACATCACCCCATTAGCTATGTACCCAATGAATAAGATAAATGGTCACACGTGGCAGCAATGTTGTTTGCCACGAACTTTACAATTGCCGGTGCTTTCATCTTGTCCCACTGTGTTATTACAGGTGTTAGTTCGTGGTAAGTAGGATGAAATCATTGTGCCTCTAGCGGTGGTCGTTATTACAGGTTCAATGTTAGAGACGGAGCAATAGAGTCAATCCTTGGTAAGGTTTTCAATGTTAAACTCAAAGGGTTCTGTTTGTCTACGGATTTGTCTAAAGTAGGAGCCAATAGGATGCGTAGAACGTTAAAATTTGAGGGTGTTTTTGTCATTTCAAAACCATTAAAGATAGAGGTGGATAATTTTTAGTGGTTTGTTTAATAACACATGAAATGGAATTTTTTTTAAAATTTTCAATTTTAGAAAGGAATAAAAAAATAATAATTTTTCACTCACTTAAAGCTATTTTTTTCATCACGGCAAGTTATCTCATCTTATCAAAGTTGAAAATTTTCCACTTTACTTTTTTGGTAAAACATCCAATAAGTTGGAAAAAAAAAATCTAACATGAGATGTTTTGATTCATTCATAGATGAAAAGAATTTTTTTAATTTTTTAGTTTTATTTATTTATTTATTTATTTTTACAAATGAAACTGCCATGTTAAAATCATTTGTATAAATAATGTCTAATTTATCATATGGTTATAAATATTAGTTAAATATAATTAAAATACTATTTTAAAATGTTTTTAGATTTTACATATTATTTTATAAAATTAAAAAAAATAATACATTAATTATAAAATTATTTTCTTAAATATGTTTATAGCACCGGTTAAAATATTACATCATTTCAAGGACTTATGATTTATAATTTTCATATCATTTATGAATAATCAAACAACTTAATATCGAATATATAATTTAATTCAATAAATTTATACAATTATTTTTAAAAAATATATCCAACAAATATGAAATTTAAATTTTAATACTTATAACTATTTCTCTTAGATAGTATCAAACTGTAATATCTTTTGCATTAAAAGTAACCATTGACTATCAAATAAAATAGCATAATCCTTGCTTCCTTCTTCTAAATGTGAATACAATGGAAGTCATACGAATAGAAGGCATAGTACACATTAAAATAAAGTTGAATTGACACCAAGTGAATTAGAAATGAATATTTGAGATTTATATTAAAATAATACGAGAAAACTTGGGCGTGAGGAAGTAATAATTTGTCAAATTCAAGGTGTTTTACAAAGAAAATGAAGCTTTGAATTAAATAAAAAAAATCTTTTAGTATAGTTTTATGATGTAAATGACAGAAGAATCTAGCAAGGGTGTCTACATTAGAAAATATATTTGAATATCATTTCATTTCAATTTTGAAAGTCTTCGAGAATGTTGGAATAAATCCTTGTATTTAACGTAACGCTAGCAGCCATTGATCATATTAACAGGTATAACCTTTGAAAACTTCCAAGTTTTTTTGGTCTTTGTTTTAATATGGTAATTAATTTTAAAAATGTACGGATTTTCAAACCCAGATAGACCATCCAAGCACGTGTGGAAGGAAAATTACCATTGTTTGAAATTATATTGCATACTTAAAAAAAGGTGGGTGGAGGGAAATTAAGATGAATTTTTCAAGGGTAAGTTTTTTTATTTTAATAAAGCAGACTTTAATTTTGAAATTAAAAAAAAAATTGTAAGTATTAAAATTTGAATTCTGACAATATATATTACATTTTTAAAAAAATTATATAAAATAATTAAAACTAAATTTCAAATTATAGAAAATAAGTTTTAACACCATGAAAATTTTCGATGCAATTGTTATAGTGGTCTGTCTTGTTAATAAAATGATAAATTCTTAATTTTAATAATCATGATTTAAATTTTAACAATTTCAAAGATAAAAATTTTTCCATTGCAGTTGGCATAAAACAATGATTTTATTAGACAGGTTCTAAAGAAATCTTATGGTGAATCTATTCTATCCTTGAACCCCATTCTGCTATGTATATGCACCACATTTTCAATTTCAAGCCCAAAATTTTAGATTTCAAAGCAAATTTCCCAAATTAATTAAATTTGTCAATCGTCAAGGCAACGTGATTACCAAGTTCACAACCCTAATAATATAGGAGAATAGTCCCACAAAGGAAGCCATAACTCGCTGTCCAAAAAAGAAAGGAAAAAAAAAAGGTGATTGTTTCTTTGGAAACCCTAGAAAAGCTTTGTGGGCAACTAAAGAAGTGTGTGCTAACGTGCGCATAAGGCACTATCAAATATGAAATGGTCGATTATCGTGTTTTGGGTAATTTGATAGGACGCATTATCCACCCAACCGTGCAATGTTTGGTCTCCAATGGTGGAACTGTTGGGTCCATTTTGCCAGGTCACTTTTTATTCTCTTTGCTATAGTGGATTGGTGCACTTTGGCTGAGGTGCTAAAATGCGCCAGGACTTGCCACATTTATTTTCTTCCTAATTGCATCAGTTTTGCCTCGTTCTAGCATGGAGGTCATGATCCTGGTTGGTTGTTCATATAATTATATATATGAATGTGTTTTGCAATATCAAATTCTTAAAGATTTTGCTTAAAAGTACAAAACAAAAGATGTTCCAAATACGTTTAACGTAATGATTAGTACATGCAAATGTTTAAAGAGTTGATTTCGAATCTTGATCCATTGAAAAAACACACAGCAAGGACAAAGAAGAATTCAGGTCCACATCAGAAGAGTAAATATTTCTGCACCCATATTTACAGTGTGAACTGCACCCCATATAATGTTAACTGTGAGGCTTTAGAGAAAATGAAAGGAGAGAAATGACATTGACTACTGTTCTTGTTTGAGAAGATAAAGGCATATATGCATATGCATATGCAGTACATTCATTGTATTTGATCCATCCTCTATCGTCCAATGTATGTTTTTCCCTTTAAATTTGTGCCTTTGCCCTGGTAAATTCAAGCTGGTCCTTCCCTAGTCCTGTTCCAAAATTCCAGCACATTGCTTTTGCGAATCATGACTGCAGTCTGCTCTTTTTCTCTGCGGAGAGCGATAGAGCGATGGCATAAAAGAGTTAAAATCCGTCAGAGAAATAAAAGAATCGAAAAACAGATTGCCGTCATTTCATTTTCATTTCCTGTGTTTATCTTCTTTGGCAGGTAAATTGTCATGATCTCTTGTCAATCAATGACTAAATTTGTGGATCATTTTGTTGTAGTTTTACCCCTTCGGCTTTCCTTAGTTTCCGGTATCGGGAGCCTGACATTGAACCTGGTCATGGAGGATCAAGTTCAACATTGATATAGGAACTAATTGGGACGAAGTCTTGTAAAACTCTACATCAAAATTTATGAGATATTTTTTTTTATTCTAATATTTTATAATTTTATTAAAATGTGTTTTAAGTTTTTATATATACATAATAACAAATCTTCAAAATTTTTCATATTTTTGAAATTAAGAATTCAAGGCCATATTTAGTATACAAAATTATAATATGATAGAATAAGATGATATTATAAATAGGATTTGATTAAATAATCTCATATTATTTTGTGTTTAATGTATATAAATATTATGATAAGATAATTTATTTATTTGTCAAAATTATCCTTAATTAAAGATTATACAATTTAAATTATTGATATAATTTTTAAAGATATAATTAGATATGTAAATTTAATATTATAAATTAAAAATAATTCTTTTTACTTGAATAAGATTAAATAATCATATACCAAGATGATATAATCCTCCTTACAATCTCTATCCCTCTCTTTAAATAAAAATTAAATATGATATAAAATGATTATTATCTTATTGTTTCAATAATCATATACATCAAACATAAATCGAGATCTTTATATTCGTTTCTATATAATTAATTTATAAGTAATTATAGTTAAAGCTATTTAGTTAATAATGATTTATCACTTCTGGAAATGACCTTCCCAAATGAGTTATATATTTAAATTATTTTTAATTAGATTAGTACAATATTTTATGTTAATAACATAATTCTTTCGTGAATGGCATGGGGATAGGAACAGTACACTAATGATGGACAAAGTTGGATAAAAAGAAAGAAGATATGTCCCTCCACCTAACATTTAAATTAAATGCATCAGAAAAGGACGGTCCAATGTCTTTGGTTTGATATATGATATATCTTGCATTTTGTTCAATCCTTAGCTAGCCAAAGTAATTCAAGAATATTTTTGGAAAAACTACGTTCTATATCAATAGTTATATGGTTTATTAATAAAATGTTAAAAAATTAATTTTAATGATTATAATTAAATTTTAATAATTTTAAATAGAAAATAAAAATTTGTAATTTTTTAACTTGCATTATCGAAAATTTTACATTTCAATAGCATCAACAAAGATCACCAATTATTTTATTTAAAATCGCTAATTATGGAAAGAATATATTTAAAATTATGAAAAATCGATGAACACTCCGCACAAGTTCCATCACATTATTGGCATGCATTGGAAAAGTGAATAGAATGAAAGATATATCCCCCACAAGGCCACAAAATTTCTTCGTTTTGCACCTTTATTGTTTGACTCTGGAGGTAGGGAAGATTGGATGATCCTTCAAAATAAACAGATCATAGTAGAAAACTTGTGAAGTGAGAAAAGAAACAAATCAAGGAAAAGAAAGCTCAACAGCTTGGAATTAAATTGCAGCTCAGTTCTATTGGGTCCTACACAAGCTACCTGTTCTTTCCATAGGACAGAAGAGTTTAAATGTTCAATTAATCATGCAAGTTGAAACTATGGTGGTTAAGGGTTTTATCTTTCTTGTATTTTTTATATTTTGTTTTTTTTGTTTGGGGGAGATGGAACCAAAAGTATTAAATGATGAGATTACTAATGTTGAATTCTATCTTTTTTTTTTTTTTTCTTCTTCAAAATTTACAAATCATGTTAACGGAGATATTTTGAATTTTTTATGTTGTCAAAATTTTAATTATGATCATTAAAATTAAAAATTTAATACTTTAATATATTACATATAGACGTTATCATATTGTCGAGATTTTAAGTTTATGTTGCTTGTTTATAAACTCATTGGGATTGATTTTGTTGAAAATTTCGTGATTCTCACCCTATTAATTCAATGTTGAAGCTT